GCAGCACCCTTTTCCAGCAAGGGGATTGGGAGGGCCAGCACCAGAAGGAGGCGAAGTAGGCATCTGCCAAGGGCCTGCCCCCTAGCAGAGGCAAGAGCCCCCTTGCAAGGGACCTGCTGCTCTTCTTGATCACTACAATCCACTCGGTCACCTGCCTCTCCCTGTGGCCCATGAAGTGGCGGGGTGAGAAGGGGGAGTGCCAGATGCCACTGCCTGCTTGCTCCCTGGGAGCAGGCATGAGAAAAAGGCTGAGGAGCACAAGCAGCTGGTGACCACGGGGGTGCAAAGGCGGACTCACAGAGGAAGGGGGCCCACCTTGGCCAGGAGCCCTCCAGATCCTGGAGCTGGCAGCCAGAACTGGTATAGTTGGCCTCCGAACAGCCCCTGCTCCCACAAAGCCATCCAGCCCATTCAAATCCAGAACTCATTTCTGAACTGTTTGACTGGCATCTCTACACCGATGATCATGGAAAGATTTCCAGTTAGCAGTATCTATTTTTCAAAACTGGGGAGCACTTCAGCATCGACTGAATTATTAATGCACTCCAGGCCATACCATCTATACAGCACCACAGAAGCATGAAGTGCAATGTGAGCTGGATGCAGAGCTGTAAGCACAGGCCTTGCTTCTTTCCTCCCCCCCCCCCCCCCGCCCCGCCACCCTTGCGAAAAAAGACCGAATTATGCTCCGATAAGGGTATGGATGCCGGAATGTATGAATACCGAAGGAGGAGGGTGAAGAAGCCCCAGCACCATCTGAAATCCTCCCTCCAAATGTTCGTGTATAGGAATAGATGCTTACTGGAGAAAAGAAGAAATCACATTGCAATGTGTCACAGTAACCTGGCCAGAGTGTGCTTTTTACATGGCAGATTTAAAATATCAGATGGTATCCAGCTACGTATGGCCCACTGCTGATACAAATCACACTGCACCACTGCAAAGGACCTCTAGTGCACCACCACTGGTGGTGCCGGGAGCCTGTCAAACAAGCGAATGCTACTGGCATTAGACTCCTGAAACAGCCGCTGCAGATCAAAGCACCAAAGCGAGCGCTTGCGTGGCATGTGGCCACCATCCGACACGATCCCGCTGCACAGTGGAGGGGTGGGAGACCTGAGCCATCCCTGGTGTCATTGGACTACAGTTCTGACCATGCGCTGCGCTGCTTTGGCCGATGGGAGTTGGGGTCCCACAACATCTGCTGGGCCACAGGTGCTCCATTCGTGCCTTACAGTTGCTCGTGCATTCAGAGGGGAGGCATGCTGCAACAAGGCATCAGCCGACGGACATGCGCTCACGAAGCAATCCTTAGACATATGGAGATCACAACCAAGAGCAGAAGGACAAGAAGCAAAAGAGCAGGCCTTTTCGGATGCTTTCTCACACCTCCATCCTGTAACTGCAAAGTGCAATTCTATGCCTGGGGAGGAGTGAAGATTGCTTCCTCTGAGAAGCTGTTCCTTTCGCAGGCGTTCCTGTGGAAAGAATCGAGCTCACGGGGGGCCGTACCTGGTCTCCTCGCCTGGTCGTTGTGCCACACAGGACCGGAAAGGGAAGAGCAGGCACTGCAGAGGAAGGGCGCTGCTGGGCAGGGGTGGATCGTACTGCCTGCCCCAGGCGATACGTGGCCTTTCCTCCACACCGCCAGGCATTCTGCCTTCGCCTCTGTGGCCCGGGGGAGCAGGCCAGAGCTGCACGGTTAATCCAGCCCATCCCAACCGGCCTCTTCCATTTGCCTTGGCATGACTCAGACTGCTAAGTGCTGCTGCTGCTCCCGGCAAACTGCACTCTGGCCACCCCACTTACAGGGGGTAGGAACCCTTTTCTCCCATGAGGGTTGCACTCCCCCAGAGCAAAGTGCCTGAAGGTTACTTACCAGCGCTAGGTGGATGCACAGCTGGTGATGGGTAGTGCCAAAGCCAAGAGTATGCAGAGATACATCATGCAATCTCTCTTTCACACGCACTGCTCCACATGGACACCGCTGCCCGCCTGCCTCTCTCTCACACAGACGATCCCCCATTCTGCACAGGGTTGGATCCAGACCCAGTCATGCATAGACAGGCTTACTAAAATCAATGAGATTTAAGTTAGTCATCCCATTGGGCCCAAGTATGACTAAGCCTGGATCCAGCCCACAAAACCCAGTGTCACGAGCGCTCTACTGCATACAAAAGCACTTTCTTGTATATTCTTGCACATGCCTAGCATTTGTTTAATTAAATGAGTAATTAACCACTTGCAGGAGAAGGAGGAGAAATGTGCCAGTGTGAATGCTGAAGCAATTCTTCCTCCGCTGCATCCTCATCGGCACATGCATGCAGGTCCACAGAGTGAGGAAGGCCAGCAAGAGCCGGCATTTGCTCAAGCAGACAGCCAGGTCAACTCTAGTCAAATAAGGACTATAGCAGCATATATTTCAATCTTCCCCAAAGTAGTGCCTTCCAGATGGCAGCTCCTATCATCCCCAGCCATGTTGACTGAGACTGATGGGATTTGTAGTTCAAACATCTGGAGGCACTGCGTTGGGAAAGTTCAGTCTATTCCATGTAGCGTTTTTGGAGCATTCCAACTGTTATGGCAGTGATCCTTACAGTGGACCACTAAGGAAGGCTTCTGTATTGGAGGCTGGAAGGGGAATGCTGAAACAGAGAGGCTCTCCCAAGGTCCCTTCATGACTGTGGCGAAATCTGAACCAGAGAACCTCCCCGTTCACAGCTTCTCCTCTTACCCACAAAATCATTCTCGTAGCTATATCCTGACTGTTTGCGGAAGCAAGCCCTTGTCAGCTTTCAGATCGCACAGCCCTCTTTATTCCACTGGCACATGCGAGTTCACTCTGAACAGCACTAAAATCAAGTTGATGCATTTTCTTGCATATCCAGGCTTGGTTACCTGCTTCTATTGATGTCCCCACATCCAGCACAAATTAAATTTTAACTGAGCTTCTAATGTACAACACAAAACCGTCCTGTTGACACAAGAGGATCTGGACAACCACTGATCCTGGAAAAGACAACTTTCTCTATACTACACCTATTGGCTAACTGCTGAAGTAGAGCAGTGGTGAAACAATTGCAGGAAACAGGTTGAGGAAGAAAGGATGATATATAAGTTTGAAGGACTGAAAACGGGTGGGGGAGGAAATGGAATATTCTCACAAAAAACCTTTATCTTTGCAGTACTGATTGATTTAAACTTTCCTTTCTCAAATTAGCTGCCCCACAGAAGTTGAAGTTTATCTTTACATTAATCTTGAAAGACCAAAAGAACACAAGCGGTTAACCCACTGCATTCTGGATTGCAGTCCCAATGACCTTTGAATGTTAGACTATTGCTAGATATAATTTTGTGTTTGTTGTTCCTGTTTCAAGGCAGTTATGCTGATTGTTGCAAACCCTTTTCTCTCTCCCCACAGTGCAAAGAGAGATTTTTTTTCTTTATAAGGCTTTATTTTTCAAGAGACCTCTGGCTTAACCTGTTAGTTGTCCTCACTCCATACAGAAATTAAGTTTATGCATCTGCCAATGCTTTATGAGGGGGCTGGAAGGGAAGCAACTGAACCCACTGCTCACTCACCCCATTACTCACTTAAAGGAAAGTAATTATACACACACACATTTCCAATGTTCTTTTCTCCCCTTCTGTGCCCACCCCATTTTTTAGCATTTTTAAATGCTGAAATGGAGTTGCACACACACATTTTCTCTTAAACATTCTGGAGGAAATAGACTGCCTTGGTCTCTTACGGCAAAACAACACACTTTAAGGTCAAACCAATTTATTCTGGCATATACTTTTGTTGACTAGAGCCCACTTCATCGGATGCACAAAGTGCTATTCGCAGTTGGAATCTATCAGTCTTCCAACTGTAGATATCGCTTCATTAACTGATGATGTAAGAGCTTGTCCACAAAAGGTGATGCCAGGAAAAATCTGTTAGTCCTTATAAGTGCTGCAAGACTGATGCTTTCCTCCTCTTCAGCTTTGTCTTTCATCTCCCCTCTACAAAAATTTGGATGTAAGGTTTTTGGGGAAGGGGCCTGACTTTATACCTATTAGCATTTTTGCACAAGTAAATCACTAGAGTATAAAAAATGAGGGATTCATTGTAGCACATTCAGTGCTTTCCAGCAATTAATAAGAAAAACAGACAACAAAAACACAGACCTCTGAAAACTACCTGTCATCCGAAGCAAAAATTGCAAAGCTGTTATCTAGCTGGGAGAAACCTTCAGCCATACTTTGGGATGGCTTGATCAGCTATTCATCCAGTGGTGCAGATGTGTAATTTTAGACCCTGGACTCAATGATCTGATAAGGCGTCTGGCTTGAGATGCCCAGTGGCATCATTCCAAGAGTGGCGCACGCAAGTAATATTTCTCCCAGTCCCCAAACCCAGCCCCATCACTGCCATTCCAGACTTTTAAACTTCTTCCACATTCTTGATATGCCACAACTGAAGCAATAAACTTCGCTGAGCCCGAGTTTAAAATCAGCTCATCAGAACAACCTCTGAGCATGTGCAGTTTACATTCTAAACTCATATCAATTATAGCACCACCCTGACTACAGCGATAAAGCGGCGTGTGTTTCAGCACCTGCCTTCCCTTAAAGAACCCTTTGCGCGCGCCCCACCCCCACTGGGAGCCCAGGGCTTGGGCCCAAGGTCCAGCTCCGGGCGCAGCCCCGATGAGCTATCGCCCGACCCTACGGAAAGGGTTGGCCAAAGGATCTCCCCGAATTCACCGGACCTGCGATTCCGCGGGAGGAATCCCGGAGCGGCGACGGGGAAGAGCATCGCCTGCCGCGGTTGGATCAGGGATCCCCACACGCGCCGCGCCGCGCCGCGCCCGCCCGCCCGCTGTCACGGCGAAGTTTACCGTGCTCCCGGGCCTGGGCGTCTCCGCCCCGAGGAGCCCACAGGCGACCTTCCTCCCTCCCGCAAGGCCGGGAGGAAGCGAAGGGGTCAAGTCGACCGAGAGCCCGCCGCTGACCTGCCAGGCTGTTGTAACAGTCGATTTCGATGTTCTCCAGGAGCTGCCGCTGCTCGGGCGTGAGTTTGTCTGGGCTGCCCGCGGCGGCCGCGGAGGAGAAGCCGGCGTCGTCGCGGTCCTCCCGGGCCAGCAGAAGCCCCTTCAGCTCCAGCAGCGCGCGGTGGTACTTGCCGATGGCCTCGCGGAATTTCTTGTCCTTGTAGCACTGCGCGCCTTGGCTCTTGAACTCCAGCGCCCTCCGGATGAGCTCGTCGCACTCCGCGGCCGCGGAAGCCGCGGGCGGGCCGTCGCCTCTGTGCGGGGCAGCCGCCGCCGGCGCGCCGCCCTCGCTACCCGAGGCGCAGCGCCCGTCCGCGGCTGCCCTGCCGCCTGGGCTCAGGCTCGGGCTCCCCGCCGCAGCTGGGCTCTTCCGCTCCATGCCCGCCACCGCCACCGCGGCTGCTCCGCTGCGTCTCCGTCTGGCTCAGCGCACAGCGGCGGCAGCGGCGGCGGCTCGGATCCGGGGCGAGACCGAAGCCGCCCGCCCGGCTGCGGAGAGAGGCTCAAACGGCGGCACAGCCTGCCGGGTTGATCGGGCTGGTGCCACCCCTTGGCCCGTCTCGGCTCTGCGCTGCCATCCTCCAGCTAGGAGCGGGAGCCGCCGCCGCCGCCGTCGCCGCCACTCCTCCTCCTCCTCCTCCTCCTCCTCCTCCTCCCACAGGGTGTCTGGCTGGCGGGCTCCCGCGCGCAGCGTTGTGCTGGGGAGGCTGCTTCGGGTGGGGGCAATTACGGCTAACCCGGAAGGAGCTTCTTGCACCCCGGAGAACGGAGAGGCGAAGGCGCGGCGGCGGCGGCAGGAGACGGGAGTTCAGCCCCGACCCGCGAGGCTCGGGCAGCCACCAGGGGAGACTGCGGCGCCGGGATGAGGGAATGAGGGCAAACAGGAACGCGAAGCGGCAACATCCATTAGGTGACGTAGGCGGCGTGGGGGGAAGAGCACGGCACAAATCGGCCCCGGAGCCCACCTTCTGTGCTGTTTACAGCAAGGTGAGTGGGCTCTTAAAGGCACAGGCACCTTGCGGAGCGAGCTGGGAGGTGGGAGGGAAGGACGCTGGGAAGCCGAGGCTGCGCTGGGCGCGCTAGCAGGGCAGCGCACGGCGCGCCGGTGGGGAACGGGAGGTGCGGCGATGCCACACGCGCTTGCTTGTAGGAGCGGGGCGGAGTGCCGGGGCGAGCCCAGCCCAGCCGCGCCGTGGAAGCGACTGGCGGGCCTCAGAGCAGCGGGGGAGGAGCCCCCCTGGGGGCTTCGGTGGCCTCTGATGCTCCCTTGTGCTGGCAGAGCTGCTGCTCTGTTGCTCCCACTGCCTGTGCCACACCTGGAGCGTTGCACCTGCTGAGGCTGCTGCGGAGGCGCAGCTCATCAGACGAAGATGCTCTTCCTCGTGTGCGGCTGTCCCGCTGGTTATGGGTGGCACATCAGTTCTGTGATCCGAGACGCCCCGCTTTCCTCCAGGTCCTCCTTCCCCCTCAAGGGGCCTGCAACACCCGCCCCTGATGCACACACCCACAACCGCCCAGCTCCATCAAGGTTCCCATTTCAGAATGTGGCAACGAGCCTCTCCTAATCCTTCGTTAGCCATATTCTTCTGCTCTGCCCGGATTCTCAGTAGTGGTGCCACTCACTCAAAGCTGTGCTCATACACTGCATTTGCTATTTCCACTGACTTGAGTGGGGTGAATGGAAGTTTTGGCGTTGCTGCACAGATAAGTCATGTCAAACACAGGTATTTTGCTTGATTCTTCCACCTCAAGAGACAAATCTGAGCACACCCTGCAGTATATAATAATGTGCAGCAGCTATGGGACACTCTGCTGATTGTCCCATTTCGCTGGTGTGAAATAGAACAGTGAAAATGCACAAGAACAACTGCAAGGATCTGGGAGCCTTGGAGGCAAAACTGTGAAAAATGACATGTTTTAGGAATGCCTGTTTTATGGGCACGACCCTGCAAGGGCAAGTCCTGATGGAATGACCACAGTATTCCCATTCAGTTCAATAGACCATGCACAATTCAATTTCCTGATGGATTGTCCTACAATTGAAGATTTACATTAAAATAATGGAAAAACTTTTACCAACATAGAAGAAATTAGCAATGTTTGAAAATAAAATGATGATGCCACTCCAGTATAGATCAAATTTGACATAGGCTAGTTTATCTGAAGCCCAGTTTCCCCAGTGGAGAAGCTTTGACCTTCCAGGACACACCTCTCCCTTTCAGATTAGCAGTTCACCCAACCGCAGCAAGATTACTGTGATTCTGAAATACCTTTTCAAGCAAAGGGCCTTCTTAAAAGATCATTCAAATCAGGTCCATCGTTTACATCTTATGGTTTAAAATATTGACTGAATGCACATATTCTAGAGATTATACAAAGTGAATCTATATCTGTGCATGAACACATAAGTACAAATTGCTCTTGCAAATACTTATAGGTGTAAATAAAAGAAATAAATGCGGAGAGGCTGAGAGAACAAGAAATTGTGCAACAGAAGATGGGGTATATGGAAGAAATTAGGGAATGTGTGAGTCTTCAGCATATGTATCACAGCCAGAGTGTGTGGATGACTCAGGTAGCTGGGGCATCCTGGGAGCTGGAAGCCTGCCTTCAACTTGCATGGGATAGCACCCTCCTAGAAGTTAAGGATACAACATTCCTACTTGGCAGCAATTAGTCATCTTTTGGAAACAACATCCAATTCAAGAATAAATGTCTCAGTCAAGTTTCTTGCTGGAAGCGTTTAACTGCATTCTGATGATTTCCACACAATAAAATGCACTGCATTTTATAGTACGTTCTTTGTCTGAGGAGGCTGTGAAAAGAAATTGTCCCAAGGAGTTAGTGGTGTTTTCACTGTAATGGGCATCAGCACTTAGCTGACACTGTCCACACAAAACAAGGCAGCCAATTCCTACACTGCTTCAGGGAGGACGGCAGTGCACGACACACTTCGTCAAACATGGCAGGATTTATTTGTGCAGAAAAAGCTAGACAAATAAAGCCTAGCAAGGAGATAAAATGAAAAGAAGAGGGGTGTAAACAGCTCATAGAGAATTTGAATATCAACATCATCAAGGCTATAGACAAGAAATGCAAGATCAAAGAAAAAGTGTGTGTGGGTGTTTTGTTTTCTACTGTTCTAATAAATATCACTTTTTCCTGGAGTCCTTTTGTTAGTCAAGAGTTGGTCTGTATCCAGGCTAGAAAACTGTGCAGACACTTCCCATTAATAGAAGTACTAGCAGCCTTGTCATATGAAGTCTCTTGTGTTCTGTATGACTTTTGTACGCCCGGTCTCAGACAGGGCACCTCGGCTCTGAATTCTAGTCCTGCCATGAATTTACATGGCATCTGAAATGGGCAGGTTGCTCTCAGTTCCCCATTTCTTAATAGGGAAAAGGATGGGAAGATATGGAACTACAGTTCAGGTTATTTTTCTGCCCAACCTGGTGCCCCCAATATGGGTTGGATTAGCATTCCCATCATCCTCAGCTATCATGATAGAACTGTGGTGGCTGGGAATGATGGAAGTTGTGGTCAAACACATATTGAAGGTATTAGCATGGGCTCCACCATTAAGTTATGGCTGTGAATGCCAGGATATCTAGGATATCCATGTATTCATGGATGCCCCCTGCCCTAGCAATATATGCTTGAACTGGCCCCAAGGCAGTAGCAGTTTTTAAACCCTGAAGCTTATTTAGTGCAACAGTGGCATCTTTAGTGCTTCTGTCCCTCTCCCCTGTCCCCAGTTGCAAGGGACACATGGCCAGGTTTGCAATACACGTGGTTTACGAGTCGCTGTGGCTTTGCATGTTGTCTAAACCCAGCCCTCTTCCCGTAGAATGACTTCCTCTTCCAGGGAAAACAAGAGTCAGAGTGGCAAAGACACCTATCTGGCAGTTTTGATTTTAAAAAGACTTGGCTGGCTCATAGCCAAAATACTTCTTGGACTTGTTTTTTTATCCAAGGCTGCTAATTTAAGCGATTTTCTTGGCATGATTTGACATCTCAAGTTTTAATTGCAGTTTACAACCCCTCTGATTAATTGGTGGAGTTGATTCTAGAATGGAGTGAGTAGTTGATTCTAAATTGAATCAGCTACTCCATTAGTTGATGGATCGTAAGCTTTTATTATGCAGTTTCCTTGCCTCACCCACAAGGATTTATAGGGACTCCAGAACTTGTTGCTTGCTTCCCACTCATGTTTTCCCAGTGCTTCTTGCATCTTTGCATTCCATGGAAAACCCATTAAGGAGGCAGAGCTGCACAATGTTTTCTGGCTGGCTGTGTAAGGAGACCACCATCCGACAGCCCCTTTTTCCCAAGGTGTTCAAGGAGTTTGTAAGGGTTATTTAAAATTATTGTTGTTATTATTTGCATGCAAGAAAATGACAAACCCTGTGAGATAAAGGAGGCACAGAGTTTGTGACTAGTCCAACATCACCGTCAGTGTCACAGTTGGGTTGAAATATGAACCATGTCAAATACCCTATACTGACTCTAAGACTTTGCCCACTAAAATCCAGATGAAATGATAAACTACAGTCACTGAGGGACTGACAGTCCTACTATTTTCTCCTTATTTTCTCACCAACTGAGCTGCTTATGTTGTGAAGCATGACCTGTTTATTCCAGGCTGCACTTTCTACATCTGGAATGCATCTTTCCATATGGGGTGTGCAGAACCCTGGGACAAAGCAGGGCATTACCAAACACATTTTCGGGGGGAAAGGGGTGGCACATGGCACCATTCTCAAAGCTCTTGCTAGCATTTTTCATAATCTTTGCCTTTTTCTGACTAAAAGGCAGTGAAACACTTGCCAGCCCTCCCCAATTGAATGTCTCCAGGTGGGCAAGCTCTGTGATCCCCAGCCAGTGTAGACATTGGCTCTGACGACTGGGGAAATGTGAGTTGTAGTCTAAAGCATCTGGGGAGCACTGGATGAGGCAGAAGGCTGCAGCTTTTTGTATTCTCCAGTTTTTGCATTCTCGGGCTGCTTCGCTGCTCGCCTGCTCCCGGCTATGCTTGCCTGGCTGCCTTGGGGTGTCTGTGCCTGGACAGAACAGGGCACGCCTATCTTAACTCCTGTGGAATGAGAGTTCCATTAATAGGCCGTGGATTAGTGTACCCACACAGGTCTCATTCAGTTGTAGCGTTCTGCTCCAGTAACCAAAGGCCCTGCTTTTTCTGAATTTCAATTCAGTTGACAGGAGTTAAGATGCTGCAGTGAAGACACAATCCTGTGTAAGTTTAGCCAGGAAAGGGGCCCTCAGCTCCTCCACAGCACGCCTCAGGCTATTATAGCAGGTTGAGAGTTGTAGGCATTTTCTGCCTAAGCTTGCATAGAAATGCAGTGACTGACAAGAGTCTCT